TTAAAAAAAAAACAATGCATATAACCACTGTAGAAAATGTTTTTATAACCTCTTTTAAAAATTGAAAGTAGAAAATACTACATATCTGGCAAATCAGTATGAGGTATATATTCTGAAGAAATAAAAACTGATGTAGGTCAACCTGCTTTATGCAGAAAGGCTACAACATTGCTTGCTGAACGTGGAGGAAGACCTGAGGTATTTGCTTCAGAGGATCAAGGACTGCAGCCTTCAAAATGGATTTCATCTCAACATTAAAAAAAAATCCTCACCATTGGGCCAATAGGTTACCTCATGATAGATGGAGAAAAGAATGGAGTTGTCAATAATTTCAATTTCTTTGGATCCCGTCATATCTCTTGTTACCAGCCATCTGGAGACTGGGAAGCCTGCATTGGGAAAATCTTTTGTCGAGTGTTTTCCAAACGTCTTGAAGAGTAATGATGTCACTTTAAAGACTGTAGTGCTCCTGATTCAAGCCAATGCCATTCACATCACCTGCTTTGCATCTGAGAGCTAGATGATGAATAAGAATGATAGTAGAAGAATCAATACATTTGTGTTATGGTGTTGGAGAGGAATGCTGAATAGCCTATGGACTGTCAAAAGAGCAAACAGGCATGTCTTGGAGAAAGTGCCACCAGAAGACTTTTTTGAGGCAAGGATGGTGAAGTTTCATCTCATATAATTTGGACATATTGTTAGGAGAGGCTAATCTTTGGAAAGGAACATTGTGCTTGGAAAAGTTGAGGGTGTCAGCAAAGGAGAGGAAAACCCTCAACAAGTTGGATTAGTACACTACATAGCAATGAGATCAAGTGCATTGGGGGTGATAAGAATGGTAAAAGATAGGATAGGGTTCAGATCTGTTGTTCAAGGGTCACTATGAGTCTTACTCTACTTAACAACATTTAACAACACAACAACAACATATTTATTACAATATTACACACAATAATGTCCATCATTCAATAAATGGATAAACTATGGTGCGTACACACCATGGTATACTACATAATATTATGGAATACTGATTAATCTGGAAACACTTCATGACATGAATGAATCTAGAGGTTATTGTGTTAAATAAGTCAGTTATGAAAGGACAAATACTATATGAGATATGAGATTACCAGTAAAAAGTCAAGAAAATACTTATATATTGAAAGTAACATGTTTTGAAAGTTACAGAAGTGAAAGGGTAAGGGAAGATAAATCAAAAGATTGTTGGTTTTAGGTGCTATTGAGTATGACTCTTAGTGACCCTATGATAACATATCTGAATATTGTCCTATCCTGTGTGAAACTCACAATCTCTGACACACTCAAACCCATTTTGCTGCAGTTACTGTGTTAATCCACCTGGTTGATGGTCTTTCTCTGTTTTGCTGTCCCTCCACTTTTCCAAGCATAATGTCACTCAATAAGGAGTAAAGCCTCCTTGCAAGGTTCCTACAGAACGTGAGACAAAGCTTTGTCATCATTTCCTCCAGGGAGTACTCTGGCTACACTTTCTCCAAAGATGTATCTGTTAGTTCTTTTGGCATCCATGGTGTGGATCTTCAACACTCTTCTCCAACACCACAGTTCAAAGGTGTCGATTCTCCCATCATCCTCATTCATTTGTCTAGCTCTCAGATGCATAGCAAGTGACTGAAAAGACCATTGTCTGAATCAGGCACAACTTAGTCCTCAAACTGACATAATTATTCCTCAGTAATTTGGAGAGGTTCCTGACTGCAGACTTTTCGAGTGCAATATATTTCTTGATATCCTGACTGCTAGTACCAAGTATATTGATTGTGGGTCCAAGTAAAATGAAGTCGTTGACGATCTCAGTTTTTTCGCCATCTGTAATGATGTTGTTTATCAGTCAAATGGTTAAGAATTTTGTTTTCTTGATGTTGAGATGTAATCCATAATGAAAGCTCCAGTGTTTAACCTTCTGCAGAAAGTACTTCAAGACCTCATTTTCAGCAAACAAGGTTGTGTCATCTGTACAACAAAGGTTATTTATGAGTCTTCTTCCAATCCTGATGCCACATTCTTCTTCCAGAGCCCAGCTTCTCATATAATTAGAAGATGTTTTTACACTGTCCCTCCAAGGATATGCTGGTCCCTCCTGGCAACATACCCAAAGAGGCACTGTTGTTGTTTTGTGCTATCAAGTCACCTATGACTCACAGCAACCCAATGCACATATCTCTGAACTCTATCCTAACCTGAGCCAATCTCACTGTCTCTGAAACACCTATCCCCATTACATCAGTTACTGTATCAATATATCTCATCTATGGCCTTTCTCTCCTGTACTGTCCCTCTACCCTTTCAAGCAAAATATCATTCTTTAAGAACTAGTCCCTCCTGGCAACATGCCCAAAGTATGTGAGACAGAACTTCAACATCCATACCTCCAAAGAGAAAGTTGGTCTCACGCTCTGTAGGACAGACCTTTTGTTCTCTTAGCAGTCCATATTATGTTCAGTACTTTTCAGAACCACAGCTCAAAGGCATCAATTCTTATTGTTTAACTTTGACAAAAGGAAAACTAAGGAGCTAGAGTCGGAAAATCAAAAGGGCCAAACTCGCTCAGCATTTCTTAAGCTCAAGGAACTGAAGAACAAATTCAAACCTAGAGTTGCTGTAATCAAGGATGTTTGGGCAGAATGTTAAATGATCCAGTAAGTATTAAAAGAAGATGTAAGGAATATACTGAGTCATTATACAGAAAGGAATTGGCAGATACAGAGGAATTTAAAG